AAAAGGATAAAAAGATAATTATGTCATGTTATTTTAACATTATATAAAATATCACGGAGGAGTTACTGCAATCATACTATACACATTTGGACAGACCTTGCAGGGGCTTCAACTTTTTCAACACCTAACCAATGCCATGTTTTACAACTATGCTTGTAAATGTCTGCATTTGCTTGAAGCAGACTCATTCAAATAGTTTAATCAAATCACTCATGCAAACCTCATATTTAAATCATGCTTAATGGTTATTATGCTGTTTTAATTACTATTAACACTGCTGGGGAGATTATTTTTTACCATTTTTCAATTGTGAAATTGAATAACTTGGTTTAAATAAGGGTGAAGCAGTGGCACAGAAGGTAGTGCTGTCGCCTAATAGCACGAAGGTCGCTGGGTTGCTGGTTCGAACCTCGGCTCAGTTAGCATTTCTGTGAGGAGTTTGCATGTTCTCCCTGCGTTCGTGTGGGTTTCCTACGGGTGCTCCGGTTTCCCCCACAGTCCAAAGACATGCTGCAGGTGAATTGGGTAGGCTAAACTGTCCGTAGTGTATGAGTGTATGAGGGTGACAGGCCGGCCGGAATGTGTAAAAAAAGTCGTTATCATATGGACAAGTCTAAAATGGCTTGTTCCAAAGAGCCGACCCTGCAACCCTACGGGACTAAGGCCAAAGAAGAAGAACTTTGTTTAAATAAACCCCACATATCTCTAATACATAGCTTTTTTCTATATATGTGTATATTTCTTTATTGCAATAAAATAAAGAAATATAATTGCTTTATTAAAATAAAAACACAAAAAAGCTAAGCTATTTATAGCTTTAACTAATTACAGCAGTCAAAATGGCCGCATAGATTTCAAGTGACTTTTGCTGCATCCCAATTCCCATACTATCCATCCTAAATAGTACTCAAAAATGGTAATGTATGTCTAAAAATAATTTTCAAAAATAGTAGTTTAGTCCAAGCTGTAGTATGTTGCAAATAGCAGGCCAAAGGTTCCCATGTGGTGTACTATTTCTGTTAAAAATTCACTATTTCTGTTAGAAAGTGTAGAACTGTCTGTACTGTAACTGCTAATATTGCCCACAATACACTGGGCATTGGATGTGTATTCGATTAGGGAATAGAAGCTCAGACCAGACGTGTGCTTTTACGACAGTTTATGTGGTCAACAAGCACGCTGAAATCGCAGCGAATACATGCTTCACAGACAAATATCCACATGAAGCTTGAAATCTGAATTTTAAATGAAGTATACTTCATTCATTTGATCTGTATCAAACGAACGCAGGGTACAGTCCTACAGCACCTATTCAAATGGCCACAAACTTGTAAACAAAGAGTCGCATATTTTTCTTGAGGAGATTCTCCATCAAGACCAAGTTGTGTGTTACTTCAGAAGACCAGTGTGATCTGACATGAATTATCCAGAGAATGTGTAGAACAGCCCTAAATTAGGTTGGTGCCGTGATTTCTTTCGAGTGTGAATGCACACTAGCTTGGGCCGCCTGAAAAAAAATTTGTTTGATTCGAACATTTAGAAATAAAACTTATGAGACAGCTTGTTTAATTTTATAGTTGCAAATAAGTAATGTATTTGTAAGCTTGGGTAACAGCTTTGGAGAATTTAATGTTTCCCCATTCAGACTTTAAGATGGTCTTAGAATAAAATGAATGGCCTTAAAGAGACTTTGGTTTAAGTATGCGAATTAGGACACAGCATTTGAATATGCGTGCCTCTGTTGCCTAGCAACTTCCTGCTAACAAAATCGCATAACTTTCAGATAGCAAAAGCATGACTTTACTTCAGACAGGTATTTCAAAACAACATTTGCAGAGCCATGAAAAAACCTTGCTCTTCTGCTTGTGAAAGTGAAAATAAAAGTCAGATGTGGACCTTTGTAGGCGGTCTAGTAAATCGTTCACATTTATTTACTGCATTACCAATAAATATCAATTTTTTCAAGTAATGTCTTCATAAAATATGACGACAGACATTCAAAAGCTTAATCTTAATATATCAATAGAAGCTTTGAGTGTAAATATCACATGACAATATGATGTCTACATGAGAATTGTCAGAATTAGCACTATGGTAATTCTCCTAGTTAAAGAATTCTGGTAGTTCCGGTGTTAACTCTTGTGTGTTGTTCAATTTTGCTACCTATTTGCAATGTTGGCAGTTAAAATAGCTAATTTTACCTTTTTCCAACAGGGAAAAACACCAACAATCAAGAATGAACGCTTATCTTCTGGCTTTGCAATCAGAAAATGTCATTATAAATGGAAGTCAGTGGGTCACAAACAGCCACAAACATAATGAAAAGGTAGTCAATTTGCCCAGAATGTATTGTAATTTCACAGCATTTTCCAAAAATAAGTGTCAGAATAAGATTTGTCACCAAAAATCATTCCATTTGCTGAAACACAGCGAAAGTTGTGGCCAAATTAACACTCAAAATCAACCAAAAGTGGATAAAAGCATCGCTAACAGCACACTT